AGAGCAATTAATTTTTTCTTAGTAGAGGAGGTTAAAGAGATAGATTTTTATGTAAATTTGGCATGAAAGAAGCAATAGAGACAGTACTCGGCTTGAATTCCCGCATGGTCACACAGTCCAAAATTGAGCAGAAAATCCAGCAGCAGTGTTGCGTTTCTGTGTGCAGGGACTAAACGAGAAAATAAAAAAAGTTTTATGGCTAAAATATAAATAATCAAAACTCCAAAAACCAAAAATGCAATTTTATTTATTTTTCTGCTTTTCCATAGGCGACTGACCTACATAGACCAAATAAATACTCCATCTTTCCCAAAAAACAAAGTTTTATTTGAGTTTTAAGATTTGTACTAATTTACTAAAATCGATTTGTACTAATTTAGTAAAATCTCAAAACTCAATATGGAATAAATTAGTACAATATCAAAATTCAATGTGCACTTTTTTTGGGACAGAGAGAGTAGATTTTACAATTTCCTTTTGAAAAAGGCAGTAAACAATAAAATAGGGAGCAATCGCGTTTTCTATTTTTCAAATTTTCAAAGACGCGTCCTTGATTTAATTTGGAAGTCTGCTAAGGTTATGGACACATCGATCGGTAACATTCTTCAATGTTTTTTTTTTTTTTTTTTTTGCGATTTAGTTACTATGGGGAGATTCTAAATTATTATTTTTTTGGTTAAAGGAGCATAAAGCCTTAGTTTTTAATAATTGTGAATTCTAAATATTGTTTATGTCTCAATTTCTTGTGAGTGCTTATTTGGTCTATTAAATAATTGTTATGATTATTTTGGATTATTGAATACTTGATAGCATTCATTGCTCCATAGTAATTTACATCCAATAAGGCAAAAAAGTTTGTTGTTTTTAATAACAGGCTATTATAATGTAATTACTTAATGAATAATTTTGTGATATTACGAGACCAATTAATCTTTTGTATAAAAACAAGATCTGTTAATTGGAATCAGAATTGAGTATTTTTCCTTGAGGCAGTTGTTTTGTAAATTTTTAGGGGTTCCAAGATTTGTTTTCGACAAAAATGTGGTTAATAAAGGTTTATTAATCACTGAATCTAGAAAATTCCAATAATGGTAACTAATTTATCAATGAGTCATTGAGTTTATTATTACATCTATGATCAACTATTCAAACCAAGACGATTATAAATTTATAAAATCTTTCAATTAAAGTTTTTCTCATTATTTATTTTCACTACTTTCAACAATCATTTGCATTTTATTTTAATCATATTTTAGTTTTAAAACCTCAAACTCCCTATTGTTTATTAATTTTTAAAAAATAAATCTACTATTCCCGAAAGAGACGATCTTATTTGTGAAATAAATTAATTTATTTTTTGATCTGACACCCGATCAAATAATCACTCATAATAGTTAACACCATACAATAGGTTATTTTTCTAATTTTAGTAATGTGTCAAACCTTACCTTTATGATAAAAGAAAACTTGTTTATGTGGAATGAAAACTTTTTTTATCCATTGTAAAAAGTTAGAGAGCATTCTATAAAACACATTCATGTTCTTATAACTAACAAAAGCCATTGATTAAAAAATTACAATGTACATTATAACTAATCTTAACCTTATCTAAAACTAAGGCGCATTTATACGGGAGAATGGTGGCTATGTTAAAACTATACGAGAGCTCCTTGTTAGAGACTGAACAATGAAAGTTATGCATGTGTTTTGAGAGATGAATTTTGAGGTAAACTATATGGCATCGTTAGCTGCTGACAGTCTGAGAGGTCTATAACAATCTAAAATCGTAATTGAAAGACGATATTATTAGCATGCATAACTCACAATCTGTTTTGATTTAATATTTTAAACATTTTGTCTCTATTGTGTTAAAAGGCAATAAAAAATACCATATTCTAATGCATTATGCATATATTCGACTAAAAAACTTGGGAACTATTTCATACTAGTGAGATCATACACGTTTGCGAACGTGCCCTTTCTAATTTTAATTGTTACCAACCCTGAGACAAAAATCACCCAAATTTAAGTTATGAACACAAAAATGCTTAATGTTCACTTCAAGTATTTGTTCCATCAGTAGGAATAATGAGACTATACATATATGCAGTTGTACACGCAATTTCGACAAAGAGAAAAATACAATGAAATAATTCATTGGTTTAATTAAAAATTTCATATACACAAAAATTAATATGATTTGATCAATCTATTCGAGCTTCAACTACTTTCATGCCAACTTTGTCAAAATGAAATACTTTAAAATACCTTCAACTTCATGCAGTTTCCCAGCAAGTCCCGTTGCACATTATATATAAACAAAGTTTGAAATCCTGAATTTTTTATAGTTTCTCCATATCAAAATGATTGTGCTTTTTTATTTATTTATTTATTTTTTGAACAACAAATAAAGCAATCATATTGGGAAGGAGGAAGTCATATTGAGAAGAAGGGAGTATAAGACAAGATCAAGAAGTGGTGGGTGGTGTTTAACTGATCATATTCAAAAGCAAAAGCAATCTGAAATGTCACAAGGCGATTTTATTTTTTGTTGTTCCAATGTACTGCGGAAGTTATAGATGGAAATATAAGTAAAGTGCAGATGAGTGAGACTGAACAATTTGAAAAGTGCAAGGCGATTTAATTTTTTTTTTTTTGGTTGTTGTATTTAGTATAAGGAATGCAAAAGACACGATACAATTGGTTTAAACGCATCAAAATAAATAGCAAGCGTTATAAAAGAGGGCAATGAAAATGCAAAAGTAATAGTACTTGTTATAACTTATGAATAATTAAACTAAAACTAACTTTTTAGTTTCTCTTTGAATATGCTATACTAATTAATAATAAGAGTATTTACTACTTGGCATCAGTTTGATTTGTGAAATATTTCTAATGATATACTAAAATGACCAAACATATATCTCTGAAATGAAAGTACTCTTCATCCCCTTCATTGGTACTATTAATTAGAATAATAATTATATGTAATTAATTAATATTAATTAAAATAATCAAATGTCAGTTTATTTTTCTTTTCATAATCATTTACTCTAAAGGTATACTACCAAACATTTGTCCAATTGACCAAACACATACCTTTAGAATGAAACTCCTCATCTCCTTAATTGGTACTATTAATTAGAATAATAATTATATTATATGTAATCAATTAATATTATTAAAATAATCAAATGTCAATTTGTTTTTCTTTTCTTAATTATTTACTCTAGAGGTATACTACCAAACCTTTGTCCAAACTCCCTTTTTATATATATATATATTTGTAATAAGGAAAACTCCAGTCGGGCAGAAAGCCATCTTATACTTAAACACTACCCCCACCATCATCATCATCTTCACCGTCCAATATCCTCACAATCTTGAACCAATTCCGCAGAGTATCGGGTCCCGGGTTTCCGATTTCCCCACCTAGGTTCACGAACCATGTCCCGTCCATTTTCTCCAGCCTCCAAATTGCATGTGTCAGGGAAACCGAATTGGAGGTTGAGATCAGTGTTGACCCGGACGATCCTGTCCTTCGGTTCAACCGCCGGGTGAAATGACAGTGCCAGCCCATCCCGGAGCTCCTGTAATTCCTGAATTACACACAGTGGCAGGAAGAATCTCTCATGTTTTCTTTCATTCTGCGTATTCCGAACCCGCCTCCGTTTTACTTCCCCCTCATGTTGGCCGGTTCAGTTATTATTTTGGCCCGTCGTCACCATATTGCCGACGTTGTCGATCACCGCCTCCTCGGGTTGCGGCGGAGGTTCATCAGCTCCCGAGCACAACAGTAAGGTGTTTAATTGAATAAGGCAGAGAAGGAGAAATATTGTCTTGTAAAATCCTGATCTTCATGGTTGGGTGAGAAATCACTTTTTATGTTTTTTTTTTTTTTTTTCTAAAGCTGCTTTTCTACAACAAGGGGATTGGGATTTGGGTTGTTTCTACTTCATTTGAGTTTATTATGAATTTATAGAAAGCTCACTCAGATGTATTCTCTGACTTTGATAGACATGATGCCAGAAATCTGATGAGGTTTTTTGGTATGTTTATTGTCAACTTGTGCATGGAAATATGGAACATGGGACGATTAATACTCTCGTACTATGTTTATGTGCATGGGATTTCGAAAGCCCATGATTTACTTTAATTAAGGACTTGTCCTTGCATGCATGAACATATGAACTTAGTTGGGTGCTTAGATTTTGTATCAACTATTTGACTAGTTTTTAAGAAGAATATAGACTATAGTCATAATAAACAGATCAATCATTTTGAAATAAATAGTTGTTCTAAATTATGATATGGATATGAAATGACAATTAAAATTCTTGTACTGCGATGGATATTCAGTTCGATTTCCATATTGATATATTTGACTTGATTCAGATAAGTAACGAGAATGATTTGAGACGCTAAACTCGTAATGTACACGAAAAGGAAAATATTGTCTATTTATCTTTGCATAATATGTAAAACTCTTAAGTACGTACAAGCCATATAATAAGTCAATTTGAACCTTAATTGAAAGGAGTGCTAAACGTTTTCACATGGGCCGGTGCTCATGGCGTGCAAGTTGTTCATGTTATATTCTTAATAAATAAACTAACATTGACAGTAATCACAATTTGAAGTTGAAGCTTCGACGAGCATTCATCATCCACACTATCATATGTATTCAACTTTGTTTTTTTAAAACAAATTATTATAAGAAATTACAGTCTTGTATTTTAGCATCTTATTTATGAAAACTTATACATCCATCCTGCTCTATCATGGCAAGATTTCGTAAACACCATCTTATTACGAAAATTCCCATTACACACATCATCCTTTCATAGGAGTAAAAGTCTATTATACAGATCAAACACAAAATATATACAAAACGGTAATGATTGTTGTGGTTCTGTGTCATGCAACAATTGAAAAAGATATGGAGCAAGCTAGCAAAATACTGTTTCACTCTCCACGGCACTAAAATTTTTATCTTTTTACTAACATTTTGGTAAGTCGTAGGGAGGAGGAGGTAGTGTGGTTGAAGGAGTTGGTCCATTCTCGACTATGATAGCTGTGGCTAAACCCCATGGCACGTGCACCTCCACGTGACAATGCATAAACCATACACCTGCGTAATGATCCAATCCCACAATCCAACAAGTCACCCTTTAGTCAGCGAGATTATATCTAATCACTAGAAACTTCACAAATGATTATTTGCATTTTAATTTGTATACCACCACTGATGATGATGACGATATATTAACTAATTAATGCATGTAAAATGAATTACGTACCAGGGTTGTTTGCTCGGAATCGAATAACCGCCCATCCAGCAGAAGGTACGGCTATGGTGTTACGTTCTTGCGGATTCACCAAATTGAAATTCTTAATGTCCTCAGAAGCATTGTAATTGCCAAACCCTTGAGCCAAAACATGGAAATTGAATCCATGAAGATGCATTGGGTGGTTTTCAGCGTTAAGTATGGCCGTATTTTGCAGCACCATCTGAACCGTTGAATTGTATTTAACCTGGATCACTTTGGTTGACTTGGACGTCAATATAATGGCCGGTTTAAACCTATTGGCCGGATTCGTGTAATCAAAAACGACAAGAGGTTGGTTTGGAAAATCTGTACTGTAAATTCCACCTTCATTTTGAACAAAAGCTTGTAGCAATGACATTTTGGTAGGCAACTGGAATGACACGTTGTTCATGCTAGAAGCAAATCGCTGTCCACCCGGGCCACCGCAGCTGTTGTTTCCTTGCCCGTCGCAAGGGATCAAGCCCATTCCGACAGTCACAAGTAAGTCCTCATCTACTGTGGTCGGAACTCCGGCCCAGAACGGAGATGTGACGAGTCCAGTTAAGTTAGAGTAGAACTTGTGGGCCGTCTCGGTGTCGTTAAGGGGCGGCATGATAGGCATGATCGGAGGAGTAGGTGATGACTTGGCGATGGCGGCACCGTCGTAAGCTAATATTGCGGTGGTGGTGGTGGTATCTGTGGGAGCTTGTGAGCTAACATAGGGACTGGCTGCTATGTAGTAAAAGTCCGGTTTCTGATCGGCGGTCAACATGACGTCGACGGTTTGACCGGGGGCGATGACCACGATGTCCGTCACGTATGGATTAGTGTAGGCAGCATCGACAGAGACAACGGTGAACTTGTGATTGGCGAGCTTGAAGAAAAAATGGGAATTGAGTGCAGCATTGATGATACGCAAGAGATAGGTCTTCCCGAATTTGACCTTAATTTTATATGTATCTGCAGAGTATTTTATATTAAAGAAATAAATTTAATCATAATATTCAATCATCATGTATTCCTGTATACTTCCTCTGTACCAAAATTATTGTTCAGTTTAAATTTTAACTTTTAGTTCAATTTGTACTAAAAATGAAATCTCAGATTGGACAATAATTTTGGAACAAAAAAAATATATATTTACTCTATTGCCAAAATCATTGTCCAACTTGAGCTTCACTTTTTGTACAATTTATATTAAAAATATCAAATTAGACAATAAACGAAGAGAGAGTAGAAACTATAAAACTGGCTACTTACGGTTAGAAGAGCAATTGTAGAGGTCGCCCGGCTGGCCATTAATGGTGTAAGCATCAGAATTAAGTGGGGTAGCTCCAGTGGCAAGGGCTTGGTTAAGCACGTCTACAACACTTGCATTCCACCATTCTCCTGCAATTTTCACACGAGAATACATGTATGTAATTTTAGTTGATATTGTAGCACATCTCTTTTCTTTCTTGTACATATATTCCTTCTAATGCATAAAGGAAAAGGCCGATCTAGGTTTAATTGACATATACCTATCAAATATCCATCGTCTAATTTTAGAAAAAAAAAATCACAATACAATAGAATAAACTAGAATAAAACTAAATCGGAGAGTGTAATAGTTGTTGTTACTCCCTCTTTCTCAAATATATATAGTCAGCAATAAATTTGATAATTGTATAGTTTTTAATATAAATATCAAAATTTAATGTGAACTATTTTTTTTACATTGCAGGGTGTTCACCAATAAACTATTTTTTTAATGATAGAATGAGTATGTTTTTACCTAAGAGAATTGGATATTCCTTGTAGGGTTTAGGGAAAGGGTAAGTACGACCAGGTCGGGGTCGTATCACGATTGCACCATAGACGGTGGCACGAAGAAATGAAATATGAGCATGCCACCAAAGGGTTCCCTCCTGTCTGGTAACGTTGAACTTGTAGGTGTAGCTATTTCCAGGAATAATTGGGCATTGAGTTACATATTCAGGTCCATCTGCCCATGCACTCAAGAATTGAGCTACCCCATGCCTGGAGATATTGAGCAACATAATTCAGTAATGAAATGATTTAAATCAGAGAGACTTTGATCCTTGCGATTGAATTACTTTTATTTCAGGCAATTCAAAAAAAAAAAAAAAAAAGAGGAAAAAGTTCAACTAAATTTTTTTTTCTGCCCATTTGGCATCGGCTTAATTGTCTGGGTTTGCAAAAAGTTAATACAATTTTTTTAATAAAATAAAGTAGTTACCACATGTGACATGTAACAACAAACAAATATTCTTCTTGTTGACTTGGTCGATTGATGTTGGTGTGTAACACTAATCGCAATAGTCCTGGACATTTGGTAAAACTGTAATATTGTCCGCAATGACGACACAAGACAATTCTAATAGTTATCATGGGTTGATTTTCATCGAAGGTATGAGACGGGGAATTTTTCCCCCCTTGAGCGGCTCACGTGATCGCTCAAGGGGAAAAAATCATAAAAAATATTCAGGTTTGTGCCTTTTGTAAAATTTGAGCATATTTTAAATGGAAGCTCATTGCAAAATTGAGCATAATATTCTTACTAAATAAACTAATTCCAGAATACACAACAAGGTAAAACTACAAATGAATTCCCAAGAAAAGCAAATTAAAGTAGTGCGTATAGCGTCATGTATTAATAATTCCAGAAATTTTTCCAGCCAAACCATGGTACTATCTCTCTTATTAGTTTTTAGTGTTCCCTTTCAAAAAATAAAAATAAAAAATCAAGAAGATAGGCCCATTTTTAAGAATTGGTGAATGGTCATGTTAATAACTTACCAGTGAATGGTCATGTTATAGGGGGACTTGTTGATAACACGTATTATCAGAGTGTCACCTTCATTTATATAAAGAGACGGCCCTGGTAATTTACCGTTCACAGTGGTAATCACCTGATTTTTACATAATCGGTTCACGGTCACATCTTGGACCTGCGTGGAAGAGGATTTGTGAAATATCTAAATCCAAGAACAAAACAAAACCCTAAAAAATTGTGTCTATTTTTTCATTTGTTTCAGTTAACAATTGTGATATTTATTTTGGGATTAAAGAAGCGGAAAGTCTTATGACTTCAATGAGGTGGTAGAATGTATCTTGGACTACCGACGATCAATACATACTCAGGAAATCAAATTAAACGCTTAAACAAATTCTAGATTTATTCTACTCTTTATTAGATATTTAACTACTTTCTCCATCCCAGAAAATAGCTCTTACTAAATTTTGAGATTTGTACTATAAATAATACTCCCTCCGTCCCATAATTATTGTCCACTTTGTCCAGAAAATTTTGTCCCAAAATTATTGTCCAATTTGACTTTTTATGGATCAAGTTACACATTTGTCCTTAGTAAAAAACATTATCCATAAAATCTTAGTGGTTAAACTATTACTTATGTAGGGGTATATTCGGTTGTTTAAGATAAAATATAGTTAAATTTGACCAAAAATAAAATCTTTCATTTTAGTAAAATTGGACAATAATTATGGGACGGAGGGAGTACATATTTTAAAATTTCATATGAACTATTTTTGGGGATAGAGAGTATAACATTTATGGAAAATGAAAACTTTATAAGAGAAGAAGGAGAAAATTGCTACAATAAAATGAGATAATAAAGATTAATAATTACACGAAATGTGTGCTCAACAATTGCAGCTGAAGCAAATGACGAACAACATGAAACGGTTAATGCATAGATCAGGAACAGAAGCCTCAGCCGGCCCATGATTATTCTTTTTAAACCCGAATGTGGAGCAATAAAGAAAAGAAGAAGAAGAAGGATCAATTCTGTTTTGTGTCTAGTTTTCTAATGACCGATTCCATATTTATACTAATAGTTGCATGGAAGAATATCTAACCATGCCTGTGCTCTAGTTAAAGACTAGCTCGATTGCGTGGGCGAAAAGGTTAGATCGTATATGTCATGTAAAGGAAATATGAAAATCGACATTAATTTAGTTTAGTCGGCAAGCTTCGTAATATTATACACAGCGCTTGATAACGAATGACCCAAATAATACCCTCCAAAGTTCGAAACTGCACTGAGCATTGTTTCATAAATCTGCACTTCACCCAAGACGGGGATTCGATTTATAAACTTCACATGCTCTCAATGATCCAGTAAAAGTCGTATTCACGTGTAAGGACATTCCCGGTCGAAACTGTATTTTTCGTTGTTCAAAACTAAAAATGATTTAATGTCTCTTTCTCTCCATATATATAGATATATAGATAACTTTGATTCTGAGATGTTCAATATATTTATTTTTTCGGAAGTTTCAGCTGTACTAATAAAAAATGGAATGTTAAATGTGAACAAAATTCTACCTCACTTAGCTAGCCAGACACTTAATCCCCAAAGTCGTCCAACCACTTGCGCTTTTTTATGTTATCTCCTAACATGTTTGATCCGGATGCATGTTTGCATATTGATGATGTAGGAGATGACATCTTGCTTAACTAATTATTCATTCCCCCAATAGGACTTTTAACAGTTTAACTTAAAAATGTAGTTAAAAAATATCTAACTTTCTTTGATCCGGATTATTTCCGATGATGAATGCTTGCATTGATGATTGATCAAGTGTATAGCACATGACATCCGGCATAATATTTTGTAGAACTTTATCAGTTTAACCTAAGAATATAGTACGCTTTCCCATCCAAGAAAATAGTTAACTTTGTGAAATGAAAATAAAATAATAAAATAGACCTTTTTTGGGGGGACAAAAATGTACTTTATTATGAGTTAGGTGTTATAGGATCCAATATGATTATAATGCCAAGGAACGATGTTGAAGGTCAAAAGGAGAAGTATACAATACTGATTGTTTCATTTTTCTCATGATTTTTTCAAGTTAATTTATTAATAATTGCATACTTTTCTATATTTTTAAGACACCTTTTATATTTTTAAGACAAAAAATATCTAACGTATACTTAAAAAAAAACCAAACATACATATTTTTAGAGTACTGATCTACAAAATTTTCTCTAACACTGATTCACATTTGGCATATTGATTTTAAAGAGGTCAGGCAACCACATGGCTCTGTCCCACCATGGTGACGTGATACTCTATCTGATTCCAAGCTTTTTTATTCCTCGCTCTTTGTCACGCAACACGTATAAATGAAATTTGCCCATGAATATTGTATACTAAAATTTAGTTCCAGGATAAAAACACAAATCCATGTAAAACACTTTTGCCTCATAAAATTGTATTAATCAAGATAAGAAAAATCATTGGACAAAATTTGATTTTAATTTATACTTTATGAATAAGCTAGGTCGGAGGAGTCCTCTCAGAATAAAGACTGTAAACTTGCTAGTTTTCATTTTGATTAGTTTTTTTCTCCTTTTTCCTCCCCTCGGCTGGGCTTTTCATTTTTCATATTAGTGCACATGTTGTAAGAATTATATTTTTGTGTGTATTACCGGTTGTACATTGAGATATATATATACAAGGATACATAAAACCTTAGCCGACTATTCCGGAAACCCTAATTTGGTTTCCTTAGTTACATACTCTATCATCCCCCCGCAATCATAGCAGGATGAGAAATCAGGCCTAGATTGGTTCTAAACAAATAGAATTTATCTTTAGCTAATGACTTGGTGAAGACATCTGTAAGTTGAGATTGTGTGAGGATATGACGAACAACAAGAAGACCAGCAGCAACTCTTTCACAAACAAAATGGATATCCAGCTCAATATGCTTTGTTCTGGCATGATTAACAGGATTGGCGGCAAGGTAGGTAGCAGAAATATTATCACACAGAATAACTGAAGATCTGGGAAGCTTGATGTGAAGCTCAGAGAAAAGATTTTTTAACCAAACAACTTCAGATAAGGTAGTGGCAACGGCGCGATACTCAGATTCAGCATAAGATCGTGAAACAGTAGATTGTTTTTTGGAAGACCACGAGACCAATGATGAACCTAAAAAGACACAGAACCTAGTGGTAGAACATCTAGTTGTCGGACACCCAGCCCAATCAGCATCCGAATAAGCCACAAGACAATCAAGAGAACCAGCATAGATATGAATACCATAGTGAAGGGTACCCTTAATATACCGTAGAATGCGCTTAACAGCCTGATAATGTTGCTCCCGAGGATCATGCATATGCTGACAGACAAGATTCACAACATACTGAATGTCCGGTCTAGTGAAAGTAAGGTATTGGTGGGCACCCACCAAACTTCGGTAGAGAGTCGGATTATGAAATGGTGGTGACTCATCAACAGAAAACTAAAAAGCCGGAGCAAGTGGAGTGGCAACAAGATTAGCTTCAGTGAGATGACTGCGAGAAAGTAATTCCTCAGCATACTTGCGTTGATGCAAAAACCAACCATTTGACTGGGGAGAAACCGAGACACCCAAGAAGTAACTTATAGGGCCAAGATTAGTCATGGCAAAAGCACCCTTCAGAGACTGAATAAGGCTGGTGAGAAGACGATCACTAGAGGCTGTTAAGAGAATATCATCAACATAGAGGAGGAGAATAGCCATGTCAGTGCCAGCAATGTAAACAAACATAGAAAAATCTGAGCGACTGCCTTTAAAACCCTGTGTAAGCAGGAAAGTAGTAAAAAAGTGAAACCAAGCTCGGAGGGGCCTGCTTTAAGCCATAAAGAGCTTTGTTCAGGCGACAGGGATAGTGAGGATGGTATGGATGAACAAAGCCATTAGGTGGTTTCATATAGACAACTTCATTTAAATGGCCATGCAAAAATGCATTTTTAACATCCAACTGATGGACGGGCCACTTACGAGATGCAGCAATACTTAAGACAGTCCAAATTGTCACTGGTTTAACCACAGGACTGAACGTTTGATCATAATCAAGCCCAGGTTTTTTATTATAACCCTGAGCAACCAAACGTGCTTTACAACGATCAAGGGATCCATCGGATTCATCCTGGTATATGGATACTGCTTGTGGTAACACTATGACTCCCACTCAAGGTATTCTCTCCAATTCAAAGCCTTATAATGGATCTACTAGGGTTGTGATTGGTAATGGTAATACGTTGCCCATTAAATCTGTTGGCACTCTTTCTTGTTCTTCAGTTAAATTTCCTCGCGTTTATTGTGCTCCTTCTATTACGAAAAATCTTATCTCTGTTCGTCAATTTGCTACTGAAAATCAATGTTCCGTTGAATTTGATCCTTTTGGTTTTTCTATGAAGGATCTCTGGACGAGGATCCCTCGTCTACGTTGCAATAGCACTGGGTCCCTTTATATCTTTCCTTCTACCTTGCTACATCAGTCTCTTGCACCATCTTCCTTGTCATGTCCGGCGTTTGCTGCTCTAGTGCCTTCCCAAGTGTGGCATCAACGTCTTGGTCACCCGCACTCTTCTGTCTTGTCCAGTTTAGTGTCCCGTCAGAGTCTTCCTGATTCGGTGGTTTCGTCCAATAAGCTTTACCTATGTCAAGCATGTCAAACTGGAAAGCATCATAAGCTTCCTTTTCAGTCTTTGTCGTCTGTTACTTATAGTCCTTTTGATATTATTCATATTGATGTCTGAACTTCTTCTTGTCTTTTCTTTAGTGGTTTTAAATATTTTGTTCTATTTCTAGATGATTTTACTCATTACTTATGGGTGTATCCTCTCAAAAATAAATCTGAAATTCCTCAAAAGTTTGTTGAATTTTATAATTTTGTTCAAACTCAATTCCATTCTTCTATTGATACGTGAAGTGGTAGATGATGATTAATAAATAGGACACATAAGGAGCAAGAAGAAAAAAAAAACGGGAAAGAGAAAATGTGTAAGACGGCGGTTGTTATTTTGCGGGAGACAGCGGCGGCGGAAGACAATAAACAAAGAAGAGAAGTTGGCGGCCCACGAAAGAAGCTCTGATACCATGTAAGAATTATATTTTTGTATGCATTACCGATTGTACATTGAGATATATATATACAAGGATACATAACCCTAGCTGACTATTTCGGAAACCCTAATTTGGTTTCCTTAATTACATACTCTATCACATGTAAATTGTTTGTTTAATATGCACGACCCAATTCAGCAAAGAAGTTAGAGTTGCCAAAGTTTGTGGAACAGCGAAACAACATGCATTAGGACATCACACATCCAACAACATATCGAAGATAACGCCTCCGAAATTATATCGATCTCTAGACTTTTTATATATAACATGGTATTTACCGTTATTAATGAGTGACCAATTCTTCGTTTATCTCTTTTTTGATTATTGAAAAGATATATTTACCCTCCAAACTTTCATTGTAGTACATTTGTTTTGATCAATAAAAAGAAATTAAGAAGAATCTGTTAGAAAAAGGAAAGGTTAGTACTTGTGGTCTCATATATGTCTAAATAATTTCCGTGTTAAAAAAAATACGAAATCAATGTTGTCTTTTTTAAAACCAAGTAGATTGAGCAATTGGTGGTTGTAAATTGATTGTTGAGAAGTGCTAATACAAGCTTACATATTATATTTTTTTTTTAAAAAAATGTTGTCTTTAATTTTTGAATGATACAATAAGATAATAGTAAATTCGTTGTTACTTAACCAAAACTTATAATCATCAAGCTTCATAAAGTTGCAAACCAATTACATCACCTTGGTATACACTACAACAAAAACTATTGTCACGCTTACACCATCATGAATCTGGATCGAAAGTAATGAATGAATGATGGAATCTAGTACCACACTCAGAGGAGAAGAAATCAATATTGGTAGAAGTAAACAATCAAATAATTGGCCACAATCGTCGCCCTTCCAATCTTCAGTTGACTGCAAAATTATTATCATTTATAATCAGCAAGTTGGGAAATCATGCGGAGGAGGAGGCAGCGTTGTTGAAGGAGTTGGCCCATTCTCAACTACAAAAGCAGTGGCTAATCCCCACGGCAAGTGTTGATCCAAGTGACAATGCATGAACCACACACCTGAATATCACAAAACCAATACAACTCATCCATCAATCAAACTAATCACTTCGTACATATAATTTAATCCGTCCCAAAATAAATGTCATACGTACCTGGATTGTTTGCCTGGAACCTAATGACAGCCCAACCACCAACGGGCACGCCTATGGTGTTACGTTCTTGTGGGTTGACCAAATTGAACTTCTTACTATCCCTAGAAGCTTTGTAATTACCGAATCCTTGAGCCAAAACGAAGAAGTTGAAGCCGTGGAGATGTATAGGGTGGTTTTCCGTGGTAAGTATGGCAGTATTTTGCAACACAATCTCAATCGTGGTGTTATACTTAAGCTTAATCACTTTGGTTGACTTTGTGGTGAATATGAGATTTGGGTTACCACTGAGGCCGGTGTTTGTATAGTCAAACTTGACCGGAGGTTGCCTCGGGAAATCCGTGGTGTAAATTCCGTTCACATTTTGAAAAAACGCTTGAAGTATTGACATCTTGGTGGGCAACTGGAAAGATGCATTGTTCATGTTGGCGGCAAATCTCTGCCCATTCGGACCGGCGCAGCTGTTGTTCCGGCAAGGAATTAAACCTAAGCCCACGGTAATAAACATGTGCTTGTCAACTTCGGTCGGAACTCCGGTCCAGAACGGAGAGGTAACAAGTCCGGTCAAATTGGTGTAGAATTTATGCGCAGTTGGGGTATCGTTAAGGGCCGGCAAGACGGGCATCACCAAAGTTGGTGCCGTCGAGGCTCCTTGGTAAGCCAATATTGCGGTGGTGGTTGAGTTGTCTGCCGAAACGGGGGCGCTAGCGTAAGGACGGGCTGCCATGTAGTACAATCCCGGCTTCTGATCGGCGGTCAACAGGACGTCGGTGGTTTGACCGGGAGCGATGACGACCACGTCCGTGACGTATGGATTAGTATAGGCAGCATCGACGGCAACAACGGTCAACTTGTGATTGGCGATCTTGAAGAAATGTTGGCTATTGAGTGCAGCATTGACGATGCGCAAGAGATACGTTCTTCCCTGTTTTACATTGATTCTGGTGGTACCTGATTACATAGATAAATATATAGAAATATTGAGGATTTGTTATCACATGATTTTGCTTGCAAGCGACTCATATTAATGTTCCAAAATAATTGTTCTGTTACTTACTGCCAGAAGAGCAGGGGAAGAGGTCGCCAGGTTGACCATTAATAGTGAATGCATCGGAGTTATTCGGAGCTCCTCCGGAGGCTTGGGCCTGGTTTGCTACGTCTACAACATTCGCATTCCACCACTCGCCTACAATTTGCAATTACAGTACAATATGTAAACACCAAAATTGGAACTTCACAGAGATTACACATTTGAGTTTTTGATACTCTCCATCCAAAAATTATGGTTTAATTTGAGATTTCATTTTTAGATAAATTTGAACTAAAAATAAACTTCCAAGATTTCGAGACAGAGGGAGTAGTTGATTAAATAAATAAAGTAGTTGTTACTAGTTGCTTCATACCTAGGACAATTGGGTATTCGCCGTCGGGTTGTTGGAAAGGGTAACTACGACCGGATCTGGGTCGGATTATCAATGCCCCATAGACTGTTGACCGGAGAAAAGAAACGTGAGCGTGCCACCACAGAGTTCCTTCTTGTCCGGTAACGGTGAACCTGTAGGTATAGCTACGTCCAGGACGGATAGGACATTGAGTTACATAGTCAGGTCCATCGGCCCACGCGGTCAATTTTTGAAATATTCCATGCCTGCAAAAAAGTAAAAAAATTTTAAAAAGCTAATCTTGTTTCTTCAATTTTGGCCAATGAGATTATAAGAATTTGTTTTAAAATATATATATATATATATATAATTTATTTTACTGTTCTTTGTATATTCATAAAACACACCATCGTAATCTCAGTTTAGTTGAGTTTGTTTGGCTTCCACTAAAGCTTTTGACTTTGAAAAATCTGCATGTATTCTACGTACGTGTTTGCGTGGCTACAGCAAAACGTATACTAATTGACTTCATGCTTGCACATCAAGTAATGTTAATTTTGACACGTTCATTGTGGTCATTTTTCAAGTGGAGAAAAGAAAACTAAGTAGGTAAAAGTCTAAAGTAGTGGTTGATACTCGATAAACTTAGTTAATTAACTTACCAATGAATGGTGATGTTATAAGGAGAATTGTTATTAACATGGATTACTAGGGTGTCACCCTCTTGTATGAGGAGCGTTGGTCCCGGTAACTGTCCATTGACTGCAGTAATTACTCGGTTCTGACATAAGCGGTTCACCGTCAAATTTTGTACCTGCATGTACAAGGATTAATGACTAGGAGATGAATAAATAAAATTATTCGTATGAAGAAGGGGATACGTAGTCTAAATTCGAAGCTTTCATGCACATAATCATTAATCTTGTTCACAAAACAATTTATAAATGTCATTACGAAATTAAAGTGTTCAAATTTTAGCCGGAGCATTCTCGGAGAAAGAGAACTGTGAATGCATGCAAAACAATTAAAATGCGAATAAGATCAAGAATAGTTACGTTAAATGTGTGCTCAACAATTGCAGCAGAAGCAAATGACGAACAGACCAAAACAAAAAATGAATAGATCAAGAATAGCAACATGGCTCGCCCCATAATTTTTTGGCAAAATGTGTTTTGATTGAATCCTTAACGAAGAGACAAAGAAAGGAACGGACAAGAAGGCTCTTTTTGAGGCACAAAAAAAAAGGTGGGGGACTGAACAAGAGACAAACTGAAATCTGAAGTCTAGTGTTTGTAATGACTTGCCGATTGGATACGATGCAATGGCCTATATATATACCACTGGAATTTCTAACTAATAAAGGAGAGATTAACCAAATCCCAGTTGAATTCTTTTGGCCCTATTGCGTGGGAGAATAGAGTTAGATGAAATCACCAAAAAGCATTAAGAAAATATTTGAAAATTGATGGACAGTTCAGTTTTTAGTCAGCAGAAGTTTCGTTATGAACAGCTTGAGTTGGCCATCAACGTACTACCGAGATAATACCTAACGGACCAATCGAAATGTGCATTTTTTTATCTTCGTTGCAAATAGCGAAGAAATCGAGATTCATAAATTATGTTCGTTTAGGCATTTTCTTAATGCTGACAACTTGTTGATAAAGTAAGTTATAGATTTTTAGCTTCTGTAATTAATCTGAGTTGTTTAAGTAAGTACTTATCCAGGTTTTATTACATAAATTAATGTATGTATGTAGTAGGTGATGACATTTTCATGAGAACAATTAACTAGTACCACCATTCGGTATATTTTTTGCATTTGGCTTCTCCACATGAAGAAAAAGAAAAAAGAGAAGTAGTGCCACCATTTGGTATAATTTTTTTTGCATTTGACTTCTCTACATCAAAAGAGAGAGAGCTGAATCAGCCCTCCTTAACCCAAAAAATGAACAAATTACGTACTTAGTTATTTTGTTGATCATAGAGCTGAATCAGCCTTCCTTGACATTTTCTCTCCTTGCAATGCTTACTTTTTAATGATTTTACGTTTTACCCATTCAATCTTGATAATCACCCCACATCGGAAAATTCACTAGTAAATTTTTCTCTCTTTTCCCTTCCAGTTTTACCGTCAAAATATTATAATTATCAGTTTCTATTAAAGCAGTCATTGTTGTTTTATTTCTCTTTCCTTTATAAAAGGGATCAATAGTGGTTTCTTACTTATCCCAGTGTGACTCGAATCCGTGACCTATTAGAAACATGAGACGCGTTTTACCACTAGACTGCACCTCGTTGTCTTATTGTTGTTTTATTTTTAGCTTGGAAACATATTTATAACAATTGGTTAATTTTGTTCAAGATTAAATCCGAAAAAAAAATTTTCAACCAAGGCCTAACTATTTGAAACTAATGAAATGGTCTTTAGAGAGGTTTCTACTTTCTAGCTGAAGCTGTGATTAATAAGATAACTAACAGCATTTGGAGGTAGAACCAAGGAAACTAGATTACCATCACTCCTTGCTTTTTCTATTTATGCGCATGCCAATTATTTTACTGTTATTTTCTTCTTCTTTTTGGGTAGTAAACTTTATTGTCGAGATAGAAACCTTCTAGAGGCACGTATGTTGGACCTCGTCCATAGCAATTTCTTTAATTTTTTGTTTTTTAATATCTTCATACGCGTTGATGTTTTTAAATTGTTCAAATTGTTTTATCTAATTAAGTTGTTTGATATTCTGCAATCTGCGCTACGAGTGTGATTTTTTTAAGAAATCATACTAATGAAAAATTTTGCCTCTTGAAAAGAAATTATTTAGCTGAGATACGAATTAATCGAAACAATAATTTCGAACACCAAAGACATAATATATTAATTTAGGGAAAAAAATTCACACTAATTAGCACCAACGGAATATTAAAATTTTGAATACAGGTACTGCTATTCTTTGGGGTAATTTCATTGTTTTAGCAATCCTGTAAAATATTAAGTTTGGAGGGAAAATTGAACATTTTAGGGGAAAGTATACTAGCAACAAAATAACGAATGATGTCATTTTCTTATGGGTACGTACACATATGTTCGACATTTCAAGATATAGTTGATGGATAATTTGCTCAAAATTAATGACACTAACAACCGATATTAAGTACACTTCAAAATTTATAGTTAAGTTTGCATCATTTTAGCCAAAGTGGTTGACGGTTAAAGTACTTGATCAAATTAAGTATCGTAATAAAAACCTTGTCATCCAAACATGTTTTAGGTTGTCCATCCGGGAAATTTGAGCATTTTATAAATTGGTTGAAAAAAAAAAAGAAAACAAAAAACAATAATTAGTTATTTTCATGTTTGACCCTGCTTATGGGGTAAATGGCAGTATTACTGTAACTCGCGGGGTTTATTGTAGAAGAGGCTAAAATTGGGGGGTAAAATGTAGTTGGCCCTTATTTAAATGATCAAAGACAAAAACAGATCTAGCCTCAAACTTGAGTAGTTTACCTGTTATTTCCCAACCGATGGAGGCATGAGAATATAGATTCTTAATTAATCGACATGCATGTAATTCTATTTTACAAAAAGCAAACCTAGGATCGAGAGCATTTGATAACATCGTATTTTGGTTTTGTTTTCTGGGAGGTGGTTACCACATTTTTAATCGGAAACTCGAGCTAGAGAGAGTTATGTCTTAACACTCAAAAGAGAGTTCGAAAACGATTTGTCAACGAGAGTAGCTTCCCTCCTTGTAACCAACCATTTCTACCTTCTTATTTACTTATTCTCCACAAGAAAATACCTACTCCTTTATATTATACTAGTATAATATTCAATAAAGTTAAAAACATATTTGTTTCTTAATTGGATATCAATTTATGTTCAACACGCAGACACGCACACGAACACCGAAAGCCCCACAATTAACTAAACGTTGAAAACTGATCATGGCGAAATTGATTGATTAATACGGGGATTTTTTTTAAAAAAAAAAAAAAATTAAAAAGAGTGAGAAAGTTTCCAAGTCTAGTAGATATACAATTACACAAGTAAATAAAAATGTTTGATACTTGTAGATCTTAATTGTGTTGATAGTTAGAGTGCTGGTGGGTGTGAATGGTAGGTTAATAAGAGCGATTGAAGAGTTTTTTTATCCTGGGATCTAGAGATGACGTACTCCATGAAAGATTAAATAAATTATATTTGGTTTCTTTAATTAATTTAGTGATGACGAGACCAATTGATTTTGAAAGATTAAATAAAAAGACTCACCTGATCGAGCATGTAATTAAACCATGAATATAATACTACCTCCGTCCATAATTATTGTCCAGTTTTACTAAAATGAAATATTTTATTTTTGGTCAAACTTAACTATATTTTACCTTAAACAACCGGATATACCCCTACATAAGTAATTGTTTAATCACTAAAATTTTATGGATAATATTTTTTACTAAGAACAAATGTGTAACTTGATCCATAAAAAGTCAAATTGGACAATAATTTTGGGACAAAATGTTTTGGGTAAAGTGGACAATAATTATGAGACGGAGGGAGTATGATGTAATTGATATTTATCAAGCTATTTTTATATATTTTTTGTTTTTGTTGTAAGAGCTATACTTTTTCATTGTATTGGGGGAGAAAAAAAAAAACAGAATATATTTAACGCGGTTGAAACGCTTGAAACAACTAAGAAACTTTGAAAAGAAAATATTGTATGAACAAACGGACCAAATTACTTGGATGGTTCTATTCTCCGAACGTGTGTAGATATTTTTTGCCGTTTGTTTACCTTAGTCAAAGATCAGTAATTTCTCATGGTATTCGAGGTGATTAATTGACAAGGAAAAGAGATAGGTAAGTGGCAGAAAAGTTGAGAGTCAACGTCAGCTATATTCTTACATACTAATTTCATCTTCCAAATTCTCATAGTAAAAAAAAAAGCGGTCAACTTGTGAGCCTTTTCTACCAGTGACTTGTTATAATAATTAGAAACGGCGCCCACGATATCTCATATAAAAGAAAAAAAAAATCTACAAATTCCAATTCCAAAAAATATTATCGGAGTCAACTTGAATCTTGATCAATAAGATTGGTTTTCAATTGTAACGTGGCTGTGACGATATAACCTTTTTTTGTGAATTTTATTCATCTCTTAAATTATTTCCTTAATTAATAATGTGGATCAAGACAAGAATCTCTGGAACCATTTTGCTGAAAGCTTTGGGTACCTTTTGTTCCCATTTCTATAATCAACATAATTCAGCCCAAACCGAACAGTATACCCACTGTTCCATTCAAAGTTGTCCAAAGCGGCCCATCCAAAGTATCCTCTCACTTGAACACCCTCACTGCAAGAAATGAAGAGACCTTCCGAGTTTAGAAATGACATATGCATAAAGGATTGTTCAAGTCCTAATTATAGAGCATAAAGCATAAGTTAATAACTTAATATACTCCCTCCCTCCCGAAATGATTGTCCAGTTTGAATTTTTATTTTTAGTATAATTTGAACTAAAAATGAAAATTTAAACTGAACAATAATTTTAAGACAAAGATGAAATATTAAATATAATTTTAAATTTATACATTATATATATGTGGCAGGAAGGAGTAATATCTCAGGATTATCTACTTATCATCTTTGTTATTACGAGTTCAGAAATTTTTACCTTATGGCTTTGCTAATATACTTGAGATGCCAGAAGAAGTACTTTATTCTGAAGTAGTCCTTGAGGGCTGTTTCCAATGGAACATTTGGGTCATCTTTGTCATCAATACCTGTAAGAAAAATGCATTAGCAATCTAGAGCAAATTAAGTGCATGTACTTTTCTTAGTTTGAATTCAAAGTTTTAAAAATTGAATTCTAGAGGTTGTAATTTCGAAAAGATAATTAAGGTGACACTAGAGGATTAACATATACCGTTCTCTGTGATGTAGATTATAGGATTTTTGAATTTATGCTTGACATATAACAACATCTTCCTTATTCCTTTAGGGTAGAAATGGAGCCAACTTGATCCAGCCTGCGGATGCATTAATTCCATCAAGTAATTTGCACATCTAGAAATCAATAAAATTAATTATTTAAGCTTAATTAGCTTTTACGAGGAGTGTCCAAACCTCTTCTCCTATAAGCTTCCCCCGGCGTTCAGCTGCCATGAAAAAGAGCCATATAAATAACTTATACTACATGTTATTTTAATACAGTAAACAACACAATTATTTTAGAACCGCAAAGATAACTTAGATATTCATCCAACGAAAAAAATAAAAACACAATGTACCTAAGGAAACGTTCGCACGAACGTCGGTGGAGTAACTAGCGTTTACGTGGGAGATGTGGCTGGTATGCTTAGCGTAGTTAGCAGTGTAGTAATTTAGGCCAAAAAAGTCGTAAGATCCTTTCACAAATTCCTTCTCCTCCTTTGTGAATTTTGGAAGACGATTGCCAACAAGGGTTCGCATGGACCTTGGATATTCTCCATGAACCAATGGCCTCAAATTCCTAGAGAATGAATGAAATTACCATCAAATTAATGAAGGATATATACATGTTAGCCGTGGTCATGATACAAAACTTATTTCACTGCGTAATTTGTACCGAAACGATGAGTTTTAGTACAACAAATTAAGTCTTATGTTT